CCCCTGGGTTGTAAGTAGTGATCAAGAACTCAGCTCTGAGTACTTCTGCACCTCTACATCTTGAAAAATTAAGCTAGGATTTTCAGGCTCCTCTAAACCCAATTGTTCAAAGCCTTCTTTCCAAGTTATGCTCAATTTCCGACTTTAAACACACATAAAGATGAACAAATCTAAGGTAACTGACATAAAATGAGTATTTTCATACAGTAAAAGTATTCTTTCATACTAGAGAACGTTTTCACAAAAAGCAGACAAAGCACAATTTAGAAAAAATGCAAACATATACATAAAACCTAAAAAAAAGTAAATCAATACTGTACTAAGGTGAGAGTGCTATTTTTCCATCATGGCCTTGAATAAAAGTTAAGCCATCACTAATCATAAATAAAAAGGGGCAGATGAAATAATTTCCACCCTAGGAAAAGATTTTATTAAAGAGACTCAAATGTTTTATGAGCAGTATGTAGACAACATTAAAAGTTTTCTTAAGAAATCCAAATTCTAAAGGCAACTAAGACTTAGCAACAGGCCACTGTATTTAACAGCTAAAAATCATTAAAAAAAAAAAAAATGTACCCTACCCAGATACATGTAACTCATTACAAAAAAAAAAATAGAAAAAAAAATCCTGTCCCTAACTTCTCTGGTTAAAAAGACCCCTGCTCCAAGAAGTCTTTTATTTTTTCTCAGTCTTTCCAAAGTAAACAAAATTATTCTGGGTATCTACCAATGGTTAATCTACCATTCTGACTTGACACTTCACTAAAGATTATCAATTCAAAATTACACAGAATTTTTATGAGAGGAAAAAAGTAACTTTAAAAACTTTTATTTCTTTCAGAACAAAACCACAAATGACACCTTTCCAATGAGTCAACTTTTAGTTGCTTTTGATGGGCTGGCATTGGAAAGGCTGCTCTGGATTTTTCTTTTTGTTGACTGACTCACATTTTTATTCCTTTTTTCAGGCACAAAGGAAGTAGACCAAGGAGACTGAAGGTGGTTATGAAGACCGTGCATCTCTGAGGACATCTTAAACAAAGATGACCCAAACCTTTGATCTTCAAACAGTCGATGTGAACTACTTAACAAAATACCCTGGGAAAACTCTGTCTGAAACAAACAGCTTGGGGGTTTGGTTTCATTAGTTCCTGGATTAGAACTGGGATGGAGTGAAAAATCTTCATTCATTTCTTGGTCAGATGGAGAAAGGAGAAAAAAAGAAGTGGGTTTCCATTCATTTCCATTTTCTAAGTGATCAGCAGTAGTTAGAGAACTTTTGGAAAGGTTTAGCTTAGTTCTTTCTTCCAAGTTGTCAGATTCCCCAAGAAATTCACTGCCTTGAGATGACTTTGACAACCCATCCAAATCCACCGACTTAAAACCGTTATTACATGGGCTCTTGCTGTTGTCTGACTCTGACATCATTGAATCCAACTCAGAGATTTTGTCAAGGTAAGCAGCATCCATTGATGCTTCACTAGATGTTCTTGTCCGATTCATTTCAAAAGAGCGAATAGAATTCAGCCTCTTGGATAAACATGAGCCTGGTTTCTCACCTAATTTTGAAGATATTTCTCCAACAGAATTTGCTATTGTGTTCCCCTCTGAACTTTCAAAATCCAAGCTTTGAGCATAGCTTGTAGAACAACAGTCCCAAAATCCTGTCTTTGGGGTAGTAAAACATTCTGATTTGTTGTCATTTTCATTTCTATTTGTATCATCTTCTGAAGAATCTTTGATAGAAACACTTGAAGATTCACAAAAGTCATCAAACACCAATTTTCTGAGATGATTGGAGTGCTTTATGGAACCTCCAGCTTTGACTGTGGAGCTTTCTCTATTTTCTGGAGTACTGAGCTGAAGGCAACTAAGGGACAAAGGAGTACAGGGAGCTGGAAGATCATAAAGTTCTTCATCTTTGTAGGGCACACAATCACTTGGTTTATTATCCCACTCACTTTCCAAATAAGTATCCATATGTGTATCTGTCACATCTAACATGATTTCTACCCGTTTCTGATATAGGTCTTTGTTCTTGGAACAGTTTAGATCTGTATTGATTGTGCTTTCCTGCCTAGCAGAACCAGTGTCAGAGAGTTTGCTGCTAGAAGCCTTTGCCAGGTGAGAAGAACTAGATGTAGATGAGCCAGACTGCTTACTGGCACTATCACCTTGATTCTTTGATGCCACATCCTCCTCACTGCCTTTGCCACCCATGCCATCTGCAGAAAGTGATCTCTGGCAAATGGAATTCATAGCTTCCTTCTCTTTGCCTGATTTTTTCAGCTGTGCAACTTGAGATTCTAGTTCCTCTATATACTTATCACTTCGTTCCAGAGCTTTCTTGAGGCGATTGGTTTCACGTTCATACTGTTCTACTTTGGACTGAAGAGCTGCAACTGTAAACCTTCCAAACCTATAAAGAATGAAAGAATGGTTAATCTTAGAGTTCAAGTTTTCTTCTTTTCAAAACTTGAAAGTGCAAATTATTCTACCCCATTCTAATTCCATGTAAGAGTGACATTTCAGACCACTCAGTGACTAGGGCAATTGCCATAAGGTATCTTAAGAAAAAGGTTTTCTCACTTATGTAATAATAAGCATGTGATAATAATAGCCCAAATCTAATAGGATTATTTTTGTGGTTGAATCAGACTAGTAGTAGTAGAGAGACAGAAACACACGGATAATTTTTCTTTGAAGAGCTAGCTCTACAATTCAGCTCATATATGCATGAGAGTTACCCCCTAAAACAATGGCAAAGATTTATGATAACATTTAAACAGTGGTCTACATCTTGAAATATTTACATTCAATCATTTTCCTATCGTACAGCAGTGTTTTACAATACATTTCTTACACAATGTCACCTTGTCAAACATAAAATGCCAATTTGAAATTCAGAAATCTTAGCAGTCCCAAGAGGGATGGTTTTAAATACTTATTTAGACCCTTTCAATTACAGACACCTTTGGTCTGAAGCTTTTCCTTGGCTTTTCTGAGCACTGTACTTTAATTCATTTCAGCTCTACTTATTTTTGGCATTTTACAACTGTATGGGACATCACTCTCATTTCTTCTAACTTTGAAATACAAAGTCAGTGCTTGTGGTTTGAATATACTACACATAAAAACATTTTTATATTTTCTGAAAGAGAAGATTTTAAAGAGTGACTTAGACAGAACCCATCAAAAATCCACTCCTTTTACCTGGGAATACCTTGTTTTCATTATTCTGTCATGAAAGGGTACTAGGCTCAGCTCAGAAAACAACTTTTGAGTATCTAATATAGGTTAGCTAGTATACTTGGAGCTGGAAACACAAAGATTAAAAAGACTGTCCCAGCTTTAAGAGACATAAAATACCTACCTCAAATTCTATCTTATCCCTAAGGAAAATTCTATCTTTCAAGAAACTTCTTATGAGGCAATAAACATAAGCCTAACATTCTAAACTCCGCCCCAATACTTCCTCTCCTTCAAAGTTCCTTCAAAAGCCCTTCCTCAATCTCTTTGATTGCTTAGATATTGACCTATTCAGGGACTGTTTGTAGGAAGGTACTTGAGAAAGGTGATTTCTAAAACTGTTTTTATCTTTGTCTTTTTCTTCCTCTCCCCCAATTATAACAATCATTAATAAAATTTATTAAGTATTTAAAAAAATTACAAAGGAGCAAAAGGTGCCTACAGTAATTGAACCTTTTAGAATTAACCAAAACATGTCTCAGACCCACTTAGCGCCTAGCCCAATTCACTTTCCAGTTTAGCCTCAACATGATCCCTGCTCTATTGTCACTAAAGGAAAAAAGCAGAGACAAAGGTAAATATAGAATCATAAAATCTCAGGATTAGAAAGAGCTTCAAAAGATATGATTGCTGAATATTGATCTACTAACTTCAATTAACTGAACCCCCTGAGCACACTCCCTTCAATTTCTAAAAAAGCAAAAACATAGGTATTATAAAAACAAAAGCAACTACAATATAAAAAGCCACCTCAGATTAAAATAAAGTTTACTACTGTATTTGTTTAAGTAAATTATAGGAATTTTTCTTCTTTGTTAAAAATGTTTTGACTTAAAGAATTTGAAAGAGCTGTATAAAAGAGAACTTTTTTAAAAAAGCAGACAAAAATCTTTTTTAAGTGCATAAAGCAAAAATGTTTGTGAGTTCTTGACTGTAACTATTCTGGCATACGCCAATAACCCCCACGTTTTTAAATGGAAAAACTATGTAGCATGTTTATTTAATGCAAATAGTAAGAAGTGACAGCCTTACGTTTGCTTACCTAGATAAAATTGTTCTATTTTTACAGTGCAATTTTTATAATAAGGATATCTTCAGATGAAAAACCAAATTATTTAAAATCAAATAAAGCCACTTACTGGACTTCAAGTAAGTTAGCTGCCACCAAAGGATGTCCTTGGGAACTCAAGAGGCATACACAAGGAAAAATTAGTGACAAATAAGGAATGTTTGCCAAAACACTAGCAGCTTCTTATTCCACATTTTAGCTTGAGTTTCAAACATTATGTCATTTTAATGTATTTGCCCCAATTTTCTTTATTTTTTTTATAGGACACAGCATTTCTAGAGGTACTACAATACCAAGTCAATGCATACAATGGACAGAGCAAGCTCCTACTTCAACTTCCTGCTCCAGAATCCATTTAATATACTGTCATTGGATATGGTAAACTGATAAGAACAGACATTCCTGAGAAGCGATTGTTTTTAAAAGAGGTTAACAAATGGTTCCTAGTTGAAGTTAGTGATAGCACTAACCATATTTTTTACGTTAATTCAGAGAGAAAGCTGCATGAGAACTGAGAACAAAAGGCAAGTAACAAAGTACACATTAGAGGGACAAGTTAGTAGAAGCCATCGATAGAGTTAGGCTATTTCCTAAAAGGTCACTGCCCCCAATTCCCCAAAGTTCTATTTCAATACTTTGCAAGTCTATAATACTTTGAGTGATCAGACCTTTTTACCATTCTAATAAAGGACCCGTCCTGGTGGGCAAACTGACAGAAATGTATAGCCAAGGAACTGATCAATTAATTGACCAATCCATATAAATTATTTGTTTTCTGTCTCTCTCCCCCGATAAGAGTAGAAGCTCAAGGAGAGCAGGGAGTTTGACTGCCTTATATGCACAACTAAGTCCCCAGAACAATTCCTGGTATATGATAGGCCCCTGTTAAATAGTTCCTGAATAAATATCGTTCTCTTACTTTAAGATAATGTCACTGCCTTACATTAAGACAGAGTTGATACCACAGAATATGATAAAGGTTCTTGGTCCTCTTTTACATGTAAAATATTGTGACATCTGGTACATTATTAAACATTTAAATATGTTTCATATATTTGACTGTTTACTTTCTTTTTGTTTTCTCACACCAAGGAAAGCAACAGAGATTAACTATGTACAGTATAGCTTTTTAACTACAAGGTTGAGATTCTATACACCTTCATCCAAAAAATTTCCATTTTTACTTTAGTAAAAAATTGTAATTAGATAAAACTTTTGACAAAGGCATTAGGAGTGACAAAAGGAAATTTACTTTACAATATAGAAATAACACACATACATATCTGAAGCTATACTTCCATAGAAGCCAATGAGGATAAGAGCTTATTTTTCTTTGGGTTTTAATAGTTTTGTATTCATACTAATTCCAGATATTTCCAGATAACATTAAATAAAGCAATGCCAAGGCAAGCCGGAGGGATTTCTAATATCATTTACCATACTTCCTTTTCCTGAGCAAATTTCAAAATGGAGTTTTTTTATAAACATTCCATTAGAGACCAAAAGGCTTTGATTTTCAAAGTAGCAGTGATGGCCAAAGGCTTCATTATGCCAGAGAAAACATTTAGAGCAGTTTGGGAGCTGCAGCTGATACTGAAAGCGTATTCCACTAAAATCTATCAAAAGCTTAAGGGATTTTTCAGCTTGCAATGTTAACTGAGGTATATATTCTGGATGAGAGAGAAGAATGAAGGTTTTCCTTATCCAAATAGCTAAGGAGATATCGAATCCTTGCTGTCACCAAAAGAAGACAGAAGTGAAAGTGCCATTGGTTTGACTTTTGAGGTACTATAACTAGAGGAAGACCATCTCTACAATCAAAAAGTTCCTAAGACCACATTTTCTCATAGCCTATCACATAACAGGAACAGAGTGTTAGAAAGGGGTCAATAGAAAGCAAATGTGAAGAAAAAATGCCAGAACTGAGTATCAAAAAACTAAACTTTAGTGCTATGCTGCGGCTAATTAACTAGCTGTGAAATCTTGAGCAATTTATTTTGCTTCTCTGGTTCTCAATGATAACTCCAACAAAAGGAATAAAAGGCAGCAAGCTCAGTGGGTGGGCAATACTACCAAATTTCAGAAACACCTCCTTGAAGAACAACGGAGACACCGGGGATTTAGCAATTCTTCATTAATCTCTGAATTTATATCTTTTCCTTACTTGCCAGCTAAGGTAAAGAAACAAAGTGAAAACAATCTTTATGGTAGTTTAGCCTATCTGATAGGTTTTCAGTGTTGATGTAGATATGTTCTCTGAAAAAAGGAAAAAAACAAAAAAAAAGAAGGGAAAAATAAGGAAGTGAATTTTGGCTAAAACCTACCAAGAATAAATATAACATGTAAGTTTTAACAGTATTGTCTAAGGGAGTACTATTGACTGATGACAGTAAGAACAGCAGCAGTCATAATTTATGAAGTGTTTACCTGGTATTAAGTATATTATTATATGCTTGATACGTATTATCCCACCTAATCACCACATTAACTTCAAGAAGCAAGACCTATTATTCTTATTTTATAAATGAAAAGCTTATAAGGAATTAAGCAGCAAAACCAGGATTCAAATCTTAGTCTTTCTGACTCCAGATGCCACGTGTGAAACCACATTAAGTAACTAAACAGGAGATCCTTTATACTTCATTATCAAAATGCAAGCTAGATTTACAGAGCACACAGGCTGTATTCACCATAAGCTGGCTAACACTGTTGTACCACTTATTAGTACATATATTTGCTAATAAAACCAAAAAATTATAAGAAGACATACAGATACATATGCACAAAGTCAATTAATATTTATTAAACTACCATGTTCTTTCAGACAAAGTTCAAGAATATTTTAAAACTTTTAAAGATCATTTATTAAAATGGCCTTGCAGGGGAGTACAGCACAGACAGACCACCCTGGGAAAGCCACCCAAATACTTTAAGTAGAGATACGAAGACTAAGTCAGAACTTAAATTCTACATTTAATGTGTGAAATGTAGAAAGTACACATTATCAATTTGTCTGCTCCATGCACAATCAACAGGTATCTTCAACTATAAGATATTTCTTATACAAAATGAAAAAACTGCAAATATAAAACTTTAGGGCC